GGGTCCGTTAACTTGGCCCCCCCCCCCACTGAGAGATTTGATAGTCGTATTATTTTGAAATGAATGCGCTCGTTATGCGCTCATATGCGCCACCGATAATAACTCTTGCGCCATTATCGTTTTTTAGAAATCCGAAAAAACATTTGGGGGGGCCAAGTGAACGTAGCCCCCCCCAGTACGTATTTTGTCCCTTGTAACTAGGTCACCTGATACATTTGGTTATGCGCTCAATTGCGCCACTTGAATTAAAGCTAGCGCCATTACGGTTAAGCCGTGACAAATTTTCAAAAAGTGGGGGGGCCAACTTAACGTTTTTAAAAGTTACTTTTTTTTAACTTCTTTTCATAAGAAATTGTAGTCTCAGGTATGCGCTGAAATGCGCCGTAAAAAGATATCTTTGCGCCATTCTTGTTTTTTGGTTATCCTTAAATATATTTGGGAGGGGCCATGTGAACGGAACCACCTATAACGCATTTTGCTACTGGTATTTGTGCCTCTTGATACACCTGGTTATGCGCTCAATTGCGCCACTTGAATTAAAGCTAGCGCCATTACGGTTAAGCCATAAAAATTTTTTAAAAAGTGGGGGTGGGCTAACAATGTTTTCAAAAGTTACGTTTTTTAACATGTTTTTTCTACTATATCGTACCTTTCATCATGCACTAAAATTCACCATAAACAAAAATCTTTGCGCCATTATAGTGTTTCAGAAACACTAGTTGAAGATGAAAAAATAATATTGCGCGTGCGCAATCTAATTTTTGTATTTGTTAAGTTACCTATTTAAATGAAATTGTATGTACGCACCACGAGTAAAAGTAAAAGTAGTGTTAATGGGATTGCGGAGAAGTCAAAGATACTATTAAGACGATGGATGTTAGTGTTATTTGATGTGATCGTCTGTTAATAGTAGTAATAGTAATAGTAAGAAAATGCTCATTCAATTTAAAAAAACCTGAGTTTTTAGTCTTTGAAGTTTCATAACTTTGGATCTCTATAGGTGCGGTTGTCCGCAACTTAACTTACAAGTTACACTAAATGAAAGCCCTATTCATTCTCTACGCACTGATAAAAATGGGTTGTTATGACTACAACCGTTTTCAAGTAATCAATTATCAAAGTAGGTACCATCTGCATTCGCCATTTCAAAAGTCAAAATAACTTAAAAATCATAAATGGTAGATATCGACATGTGGATATCAAAAGAACTGAAATTTCACGTAGAATCCAAAAATGTAATAGGGGTTGCCATTTAAAATAACGAAGTTACTAGCCACTTCCGGTATTTCCAGAAGTGCGGCCATTTTGGAAATATTTTACATCGATTCGGCCTTCGGAGTAACTCCTAAGTACAAATTTTTAAAAACCTACCTTTTTTACTTTCCCAGAAACGTTTAACTAAAGCTCCCAAAAAAACACCCTGTATAGTGTTTCTGAAACACTGTAATGGCGCAAAGATTTTTGTTTACGGTGCATTTTAGTGCATGATGAAAGGTACGATATAGTAGAAAAAACATGTTAAAAAACGTAACTTTTGAAAACGTTAAGTTAGCCCCCCCACTTTTTAAAATTTTTTTATGGCTTAACCGTAATGGCGCTAGCTTTAATTCAAGTGGCGCAATTGAGCGCATAACCAGATGTATCCAGTGGCACAAATACCGGTAGCAAAATGCGTTATGGGGGGTTCCGTTCACTTGGCTCCTCCAAAATATATTTAAGGATAACCAAAAAAACAAGAATGGCGAAAAGATATCTTTTTACTGCGCATTTCAGCGCATACATGAGAGTATAATTTCGTATGAAAAGATGTTAAAAAAAAGTAACTTTTAAAAACCTTAAGTTGGCCCCCCCACTTTTTGAAAATTTGTCACGGCTTAACCGTAATGGCGCTAGCTTTAATTCAAGTGGCGCAATTGAGCGCATAACCAAATGTATCAGGTGACCTAGTTACAAGGACAAAATACGTACTGGGGGGGGGCTACGTTCACTTGGCCCCCCCCCAAATGTTTTTTCGGATTTCTAAAAAACGATAATGGCGCAAGAGTTATTATCGGTGGCGCATATGAGCGCATAACGAGCGCATTCATTTTAAAATAATACGACTATCAAATCTCTCAGTGGGGGGGCCAAGTTAACGGACCCATCCCTATGCTGCGTTGCGCTAGGCACCACCCTGTAACTGTTGGCTTTCGTACGATTCAAACATATTTGGGACCCGTGCATGCATTTGAATTCCAAGAGCGTCAGAAACTTGGCGTTCTTTTATTGAAGTTTTCATTCTTCGGAAGAGAAGTTGTTTGTAATCCAAAAATGATTGAATCATTACTGTAGGTATTCGGGAAACTATTGTCATGGAACGCATTTTTTATGAAAAGGGGTCGCTAACAGTGCATAAGACATACAGCAATATCTGTTCTTGCGCATTTATTGACAAATCACGCTATTGCTTCATATCAGTCTTGTCTTGTCTTAATTCTTGCACGCAAATTTCTTGTTTTGCTTTTGCTGCAAAAGTCATCAAGCAAAAGCCTAAGTACGTATGATATGCTTATCTTTACTATTAGTATCTGTATGGTTAATAATTCAAAGAAAATCTTATAATAAGAAAGTTTGCACCGCACAAGCTGCGCATGCTCTCATCTGATTTTTGCTATTTGAGATATGTTTGCCTTTATCACAAGCATCTGTAGTAAAAATTTAAAAAAATCTTTAGAAGTAAGAAAATTGACATCGCGCAGTCTGCGCATATGCTCAGTTAATTTTTGCTATAATTATATGATGTTTGTCTTTACTAGGGGCCTCTATGGTTAAAATTTGAAAGAAATTCTCTATAAATATGAAACTGGGCATAGCGCGTGCATCTAGTTTCCCTAGTTTTCTAGTTTCCCATTTTCCAAACAAAAATCCTGAAACCGTTAGCATGTAAGTCTATGGACCCTCCCCCCAATCTCTATTCTAATTCAGTAATAAATTTGGCAAACAAATCTATACAAACAAAATATAATAAGCATTCAATCGTACTTAATTCTTTTAAAAACAATATGTACTGATCAGCTTTCTTTTTTCAGATTGCATCATCTGAAGCACAAATGATCTCTATAAGGGATGAGTTGGAAATGGTACAGCATGCGCTCAAGATTCAAACACGAAGATGTCGACAACTAGTTGTAGAATACACGAAGCGATTGCAACTAAAAGAGCAACAATATGAAGCGGAAAAACGACTGCGAGATGATCAACTGTCAAGAGTGCTACGGGCTTTACTCGTGTGCGAAGCAAGGCTTCGTCAAGAGCAGAAATATATTAGCCATCAATTGGAAGAAAAAGATTATGCAATTAAAAAGCAACAAGCATACATTCAAAAACTATTGGCCAGTCATTATTGCAAAAATTGTGATCAGTATTATTCTCCCAACGTTCACTTGGAAAGTCCAAATAGCAGTTTGGAGTATGTAGTTACGGATCAACATGATTACCAGAGTTCAACATTTGAATCTTTAGATAGTAGTAGTGAAACATACGCGAGTATATCAGAGAAAGATTCGGATTCAAGAATATCGGGGTTTGGAAATTCAATTTCTAGCGAAGAAAATGTTAGAGCTATTGAAAGTGCGTCGAGAAATACCTTTATAAAAAATAAAAACAAGGACTCCTTAAATCGACGAAATAAAAGAATTGGACACCGGAAAATAAGTAATGGTAATTATTTTGATGTGTTGAAGATGCGAAATGAAAATAGTGCTAGTTCTAATGACGAAAATAGTCTCATTTATGAACACAACGATTGCTCGCTATTGCACAATAGCTTATCTGAAAACAATTATACAAGTGAAAAGGATATTCTAACAGACGAATATAATTCCTCAGGAAGTACTGAAGTTGGGTCAAATATCAGTAACGACCGCCGTAAGGACGAAAGTATTGATCGCAATGACGCCAAAGGCAAAGTGAAAATTACAGACACAATACCTATATTTGAAGGCGACGGTGAAACAAATGACAACTGGTATGCAAGCGCCAGCGAGCAAGAAGATGAAGAACACAGAGGGGTTTACAGAAATAATCCTGTTTTGGAATGTATGAATCAAATTCTTATGCAAAATATAAACGATCCACTAGTCTCCCCACCAAAAACTCCAAACACCGAAAAGAAGTTCAATAAAGACAGTAAGAAAGTTAAATTTAGTGATGAAGAAGATTGTAAGAACTACACCAAATTAAACGAATCGGAAAGTAATTATTACGAAACTCCCATTCAAAAAACCCCAAACTTTTATGAAACACCTCAAAGCATATACAGCAATGATTATGAACAAATTTTAAGCCAGTGTAGCGAAACGTTCCAAAACAGTTCTTCAAAGGATAATAACACAGAAAGAAAATCTAACTCAAGAACGCACGGGACCGCAGGTGACGAAAAGACTACCAACCACTATTACATCGCAATGGAGACAAAATCTGATCAAGATGAAAAAGACACTAAAGCTCTTAGGAAGAGCAAGATTCTTCGAACTCCGCCTGCTTTACCACCCAAACCTGCAAATTTATTGTCTAAATATAAAATTCAGCATTTACAATATGGGCACTCTAGGGATAGTGACAAAAGTTTTGATTCCGAACCAGATTATTGTTCCATTTCTGAAATAAATTTACCGACAATAGATAAAAGTAAACCTACATTAAAAAACCATTCCCCCACCGAAAGTTTGCGAAATATTGAACCTATATTGAATAAAGTCATTAAATCCGAAGAAAAACGATCAGCTCCGCAGTCACCTCAAGAAGTTAAGGATAATCAGTTGTCGCCACAATACAAACCTGTGTCTTTAAATGAATCCTTATTCAATCCAAAGTTTATTAAGGGTGGCGAAACTGACCAACTATCCCACAAATCCGAAAACACCCCCAAAAAAGCGCCATCGCCAGAAATACCCAAGTTGCCGCAAGTTACGGAAATAATTATTCCAGAGGAAAATGAACCAAAATCTGAAGTATGCGTAAATCAAGACAATTACATAAAAAACAATACCCAAATCCTACAGCAAAAGAGTAATCATTCAAGCAGAACTCGACCAATTCAAATGGGTTCGACCGTTTCCAGTCTAATAGCTAGTTTTAATAACAAACAACTTCTCTCAGAAATAAACCATAAATCTGGGACGCAGCATAAAAATAGCGCAATGTTCTCAAGTTTTGAAAACTTACAAAATTTAGAGACGCATTCATCGGACTCGACGTTGGCGAATAACTTTGAAAATTTTGACTTAAGCCAAAATTTTGAAGAGTTCAAATTGGACGATTGTGAAATTGAGGACTTTAACGGATCTCGTTCTACTGCCGTCGAAACGGACAATAGCAAGGTCGATCTTAGTAACAACAAAGTAAATAGTAAACATTTAATGGGAGGCATTCATTTTAGTTCACCTACTCGCGTTGAATTGGTGCGAGCAACCAATGACGTAATTAGTAGTCCCTCTTTAAATTTAAATTCTTTGCAGCAATTTAAGAAAAAATTGGAGTTAGAAAAAAATAGAATGTCAATAAATAATCAAATTAAAAGGGATAGCAATGCTAACATGAAGTGTAATGAACCTACTTACGAACATTTTTTGGAATGTACTGGGTTAAGTTCGAAGTCAATAATAACGCCATCTAGGCTAATAAGCAACCACAAAACTATGTTAAAGCCAAAAGATATAAAATTGCGTTCAAAAGTGAAATCCAATAGTTCATTAGACAGGGAACAAGTAGCTGTAAAATATTGGTCTGAACCTTTCTTATAAGCTTTTCTTTTTTATTTAACTTTTAAGACGTATTGTCCACAGCCATTTTGTTTGTTATCTATCATTAGTAATTTATTTAATATTTACCTACCAAAGAACATATAGAATTTTATAATCTATTATTAAGAATATTACTATTACGATTAGACATTTCTTAAGTTACTTTCCAGTGTTAATCATATAGATAGGTAATATGAATTGTATCATATCACTGTATATCTTATGTTTATCTGCAAATATGTAATTGTATATTATTATTCATAGACTAAACCTAATTTTTAATTACCTATTTACATGTGTTTAAAGCCAAATAGTGGAGAATATTCCTAATGAAATAATCGGACATTACAGAAAAGTTTTCTGTTGTATTTTGCACATGTTTTATCTCCGCAGATATCTAGTGATTGATACCAGTTGTACTGCCTTTTAATATATTGTTTTAATTACATGCCTACTTGCAATTTTCTGTTATGTCCCACCCATATCTGTAGCAGAATGAAAGTCCATTTACTAGTAAATCGGTTAGAACTGAGGACTGTTTCAAATCCGGGGGTAAGATTCTGTATTTTTTTGCAGTGATCATTACTACGAGTTACGTTACTCGTAGGCTCATTATTTGTTTGGCAATGTGAAATTTTATCAATTATATTATAGGTATGTTTTTTTAATGCAGTAGGATAGATAAATATGTGACTACATAACTGCGCTTAGTAAGTGTGGATAATTTGGTGCAATTGTAAAATAGGAAATCGATTGGCATTGAATATGAATAACGAATGCTATTGGTAAATTTGAAATGAGTTGAGAATTATATAAAAATACTTTAAGTTTTTTGCTTTGCGGGAAATTCAATAGTCCTCAGTTCTAATGGATTACAGTACATTAAATTTTGCGTCAATTGGGAGGTGAATAAATTTGCCAGAATTTCACCCCAAAATTGTCTTTGTACACAAAACAGCAATTACTGCATTTAATACCTAGTATTTTACATTATTAGCCAGGTAAGTGAGGTTTTACTGGAAAGCCATTAGGCGAGCCTGTCATCTCCTAGAGCCAGTAAAGACTATTTACCTGACGTATAATGTACAAGACTTTATTTGTTACTCATTTAATTGTAAAGAATAGTAAACGTAAATACTTAATATTGATCTCAAAGAAATGTCTAAAATATCATGTTATCCATGTCACACAGCCTACGTATTAATTGTTGTCAATGAAATTGTCATATATTACCAACTAGTAATGTAAAAAAAGTTTTATTTGTTACTCAGTTGTAAACGTTGATTAATAAGACAAAACGCAAACGGGTAAACGTCATGTTTAAACGCTACTGACTTGTAAAACTGACTTGACAGCTGGCCTGTAAAAATTTTACAAGTTAGTAATCTAGTAATTTGATTGGCCAGAATTAATGCGAAGTCTCTGTTACATGGATAATATGATATTTTAGACATTTCTTTGAGATCAATTTAAGAACTAATTATTTACGTTTACTATTGTTTACAAATGAGTAACAAATAAAATATTGTACATTATACGCCAAGTAATAGTTTTTACTGGCTCTAGGAGATGACAGGCTCGCCTGACGGCTCGCCAGTAAAAACTCACTTACCTGACTAATAATGTAAAATTAAAAATACTATTACTTATCAGCTGTCAGTTTAACCAGCCTAATTTAAGTCTGGTAAATTCCAGGGACGCTATTCTTGACTACGTATTATGGTATTTAGCAATGTCATTCGTTTTGTCAACCAAAATGATGAACTATAACTCTCGCCAGGAAAGATTGCCGGTCACAGCACACCTTGTGTCGATCTACAATCTAAGTTTTTCTTAAGATGCGAGCGACTTCCGGAATAGGATTGTGCCAATGTTAAACGAAAAGTCTTTTTGTTCAACGTTGACACGATACTATCCCGGAAGTCGCTCACATCTTTAGAAAAACATAGATTGTAGACCGGGATCAAGTGTTAGGTGACCGACAACCATTCCTGGCGAGAGGTTTATAAATATATGTTTGGAATTCGTAAATATCATTCGTTTTTACAACGAGCGGAATAAACCACTCGAATTTATGCATATACCATATGTACTTATCGATATGCACCTACGTCCTACAGGAACCACCATTTACGTAATTAACGCACTGCGTGTCTTAAGACGAGTCTCTCGATCTGTGTCTGGCTTTACACAGCATCACATAGCATATTCATTCTTTTCGTGAAGGGTTTGGTTGCTGTACGATTTGTTGGGAGTAGCAGTTACCAATTAAATATTAGAAATTCCTCATATTTAGCTGTTTCGCAACAAACTATAATAGAGTTCACTGTTCGCAACCATTGTAAGCACTTTTTGCAATTTATGCAGGTATATAGAAGCAGCGCAGTTGTCACCAAAGGGTTGTCAAGGAAACTACTAGAAATTTCTACTTTGCCAAACATATCATTCAAATTGAAATTATAAGGATTACGAAGGGTACACGCATTAAACCGAATACGAATCAATTTGAGTGTGGTAAAGAATAGCACCCGACTGGAAATGTTGCCAGGAAACGTCAACCGATATCTATGATCTATCTAAACGTATAGGTATATCTATGTAATGTAGGTGATATAATTATAGATAGAGGCTTACAGTTTGAGTGTAATAGTTAATGAAACTACAGTTGAAGTTGTTTATGTAATTTTATTGTATTGGGTAAAATACATTTCCAACTTTTTAAATTAATATATTTAATGTTTAAGAATTTACACATACTTTTTCTTAGAGCCACCGTTTTTACAAGACCATCAATATAAAAAAATACAACAGTAGACTATGTACGAAATATATGGAACATATTATAAAATAAACAAATTAATGGCTACATATACTACACAATCTTTGGTTATACTAGCCATTGATAGATAATAATGAAAAACAAATTATACAAAATAATAAAAAGTCCTTAAGAGTATTGGAATTAAATTAACGCAGTTACAAATATAGAGAGATGATAAGAGAAATTTCAAAATGACATTTAATATTCATACAATTGAATAAAGAGACAAAAACAAGTGAACACTTAATATATATGTACAAGGTATACACAGAGATTCATAGAGAGTATCTTAATTAAAACTTTTTATTCATTAATGTTGTATATAATATTTTGTCAATATATATAATTTTTTAATATCTGAAACTGTTCTCCCACACTTTGAGATTCAGTAATAAATGCTACCTTTATAGTAAATCTTAAATTAGCAGTACTAATCATAATAATATATTTATAATATATATTGTTTATATCAAATGGCTAAGTTATTGTCAACAAATCTCATTTATAAAGTTCATACACTGGAAATTATAATATATATTAGGTACATAATTTGGAATGATTTCATATTAACCCTAATTTTTGAAACTCTCTTGTATATTCTAAAATATCCTAAATTGGTAACTTAAACACCGTTAACTTACAGTAGTAGGTATTTAAATTAAATGCCTATAAACCTAGCAAATAACACTTGCACCATTTGTTCATTGTATTGTTGAATCTACCAGTTCTACGTATTGTCAAGTAACACTTGATGTGCAGTGGCTTTGCTGATCGCTCGCCCTTATTGTACTTTTAATATAAAACTAAAGGCAGGTCTTAATATTTTTATATAATAGATAATTATTACATATTATCGATGTATCGAAACCAGCTGTGTGTATCGAATCACAAATAGGCTCAATTTCGTTGGTGTATGGCACTTACAAAGCAAAATATTACATATGTACAAAGGCTATAATAAAAAAATAATGGCTTATATTTGATCACAATAAATTGTTATATCAGTGACTAATTATTCTTGGTAACTAATTGTTCAAGTTAGTAAAAACCAATTGCACGTAATGACTAAACATTCGATACATTGCTCTTGTGTCCTCGCCTGCTTGTCGGTACCACTGCAACCTTGTGGCGGAAGACAGTTGATTCTATTTGGCACTAATACGCACATACATATCTTTTTGTATACGCCTAATGAGTATTCTTTAACAGGTACCGGACAATATTTATAAATAAATGTGTATAACAACGATATACACCAGCTTTACAGTTAGTAGTAGAGTTTTAAAGTAATAGTAAAACTATAAAGATAAAACATATTGGTCCATATGCAGCAAGAGTTCGAGTGAATGAGTTTAAACTTAATGTTGCGCAATATAAAGCAATGAAATTTGCTGCATACTGATCACAGTAATAAAAAATTAAGATCTTTAACAAAACATAAAACAAGTCTAAAATGACCGATAAAATAGAAAATATACAACTAAACAGACATCACTCAAATTCAATTCAATTCGATCAGTTGAAAGATCGGTTATTGTTGGCTCGCGCATTTCGTCAATGATTGTAATTGATCCAACATTATTTTTAATCTCTTTGGAAAGTGAGAGAAGAGAATAAAATATTTGATCTCATTATGTGTTCTGATCCAAGGAACACAGAAAAATAAAGCTATAACTATAACTGCTTGAGGTAAATCAAACAGGAACGTTTCAATTTAATGTATTTATAGGAAATTTAATTATACTATTATTTGTAATAATGTGATGGCTTATGCAAATGTAAAACTTGCAATTAAAATTTATAAATAATGACTAGATGTTTTCTTGTGAAAAATGTGATGCAAATGATACTAAACGTAAAGTGGAAATCATTTCGAAATTGCATGCTCTTCTCACACAGTTCACAAAGCACTTACATAAGGAATTGATGAAAAATGTACTATGTTGATATTTTGATCAACTAAATCTCTATCTTTGACATCCAGATAATACTCTGAATTCATAAATTCGCCAACAACCTACTTTCCAATTGCATTCACGGTATAAAAAATGTGAAATTATAAAATAAACTATAGTAGCTTGTAAAATTCATATTAACACTAATACAATAATTCTCACTCTGGCAAATCAAAAGGGCAAGTGAACGAGTATTTTGAAACATTGCACAATAGCAGATTAAATATATAGATAGCTTACTCTCTATACGGCTTACAATACGAGAAGCGGTGATTCATATGCTGACTGTAGGATCCTGAATGCGAAAAGCGTTTGAGGCACTTGCTGCACTGGAACGGTTTTTCTCCACTGTGAAGACGTTTGTGCTCTGTCAAATGGTGTTTATGTTTGAATGCTTTAGCGCACTGATCACACTTATGAGGTCGTTGTCCTGAAACAAATGTCCTTCTTATTGCAACATGCCTAATATTAGACCACGTAATTATGTTTAGTAATTCGATGTGTAAACTACCCATATTTCGATTTCTTTCAGAGTGCAGATAGTAGTAATTAAAACATTGAACCTCCATATAAATTTGTACAATCGAAATAAGTGTTCTACAAGCCAAACGCCAGTGAAAATTCAGTATAATAGCATAGTGAACACAGAAATTTAACAATAATGAACTCAGATGCAACTTACCTGAATGTTCATATTTGTGGCGAGCAAGTGAACTCTGCTTTGAAAAGGATTTATCACACTGGTCACAAATGAATTGTCCTTCTACTTCTCCGTCAATGTTTCCAAGGTTTGGGCTATTCAAACCTTTTAAGACTATCTGCGAAATTTTGCTGCGTTTGCTGAGTTCATCGTGAATTGCGTCTTGATGTGCTAATGATTCACTATCTTCACTCCAACATCTTTTACCGGAAGTGGGACTTAAACTTGAAATTCTGTTATTTATAAGTTGCGTTAACGCCGGTAAGCGCATAAACCCATCCATAGGAACCAGTCCGACGTTGGACAGTGAAAGAGAGTGGGTGGGTTGTGCTAAGATCCTTGCCAATTTGCTGGTACTGTTGAAGTCTAAAGGGGAGGGTGAACGATGGTGGTCTGATGAGGAGTTTGAGTGTTGGTAATGGTTTTGGTACGACTGGTGGAAGGGCGTCGGACTTCGTGAAGATTTATGGCACAGATTGACAACTTCTTCGCCGGAGTCTGAATGGGGATTTGAAGAAGGCGGCCTTTGCGGCGATCCACTAGGAGACGAATGCGAGGACAGAGGACTTTTCTTCGTTGACAAATCTAGAGGTTGCTCAGAGTTGTATTGAGGTGATGGCACTAGAGGGTAATTTACTCTGTGACCTAGCGACTGAGAGCTGGAAGGCACCATTGATGGGGGTAACTGTAGTGGCATTGTACCGATCGGACTGTAGGGTACTTGTATTAATCTACCTTCACGTCTGTCTCTAGCTCTTGTGTTTTGGAACCACACTTGCACTACTCGAACGGGAAAACCGATTTTATCAGCAATTTTAACTAGCTCCTCCCGTTTTGGTCTTGGATTCATGTTGTAATGATCTTTCAAAACTTTTAACTGCTTGTCGGCAATTAACGACCGGACCCTCACTTTTCGTCCGTCTTCAGATACCTGGTCGGTGGTGGTGACAGACTCGCAATCCATATCGTAATCGTAACCCTTATCGCCCAAACGATCGGAATCCATCTCGTATTCATCGCAACTGTAATTCCCGCTGTGACTGTCTTCGAGTTTAATATTTACGGCATCTTCTAATTTAGCTGCTAAACCTTCGCTTCTAATATCCGTTTGATCACATTCGTGTTCATCTAGTGTACGCCGATTTGAAAAACGTTGTTTGCATCCATTACATGTTAACTCACTTTGAGAATTCTCTCTTGGTGGTGGGGTCGCTCTATCGTCACTTTCTATGTCCGTTGTATATTTTTGCATATTGGCTTGTAATAACTGCTTAGTCACCGAGGCATTTACGGTCTCCAAAATGCGTTTTACTGCTTCTAAATCACTACCATTACTATTAATGTCTGTGGAACTTCCATCGTCTTTTGATACACATTGATCGGGGTTGCCATTCTCTCCCTCAGTGGCCATCACGAGATCCGTACAACTAGATGAATTCGACTTAAAATTAATAGCAGGTTCAGTTAATTTGGGCGAAGTGGCTTCTCGTTTTATGCTTTCAGTTGAATTTGTAACGCTCATATCTTCGGGCGCTTCTATGTATTGCGGACGGTGGGGTGACGCTCCTTGAAGTTGCTCCAGGATGTGATTTAAGGAAGGCATGGTATAGGGACTTATAGTGGGACCAGAATTGTTGAGCAAGCTCGTAGGAGGCATATATGAGAAAGGAAGGATGCCGTGGTTAGAAGCGAGAGAAGTGTGCAAAAAGGCAGCAGCGGCTTCTGTGTACTTCGGCAGAATTGGCAAATATGCGTTGTGATTAGGACTGGTGGTTATGTTATTATTTAGTGGGTTTCCGGGTAATCGTTTTGCATTTCTGTTGCTTTGTGCCGATGTCTTGTCTAAGAGAGCATTTCCAGGCGAACCTCGAGCTCGCCCCAGTTTTAAATTCATCACCAAGCACTTTTTTGACGTCATGTGACTAGAATAGGAACCCGAATGCGAAAATCTTTTTCCACAATTTCCGCACTCGAATGGTTTTTCACCGCTATGGATGCGTATATGCTCCTAAAACAATAATTTATGTCGTAGACTCGTTAGTTTTTAAATAAAGAAAGTTACCTTTAAGTGATGCTTGAACTTAAATGCCTTTTCGCACTCGGTGCATTTAAATTTGCGTAAAACTGCGCTTTCGTCGTGACTTATCATGTGCCGCTGTAGTCTATATACATTTGCAAATGTTTTATTGCAAATCTTACATGACTGAAACAAAATTGAAAATTAGATGCGAGCAAATAACTGACTTCTCAATTTGAAAAATACATCATTCGTACATGTTTCGACAATGGAACCTTCATTCGAAATAATGGGTATTGGTATGTCAATTCGCTTCAAAATCTTTTAAAATAGGGGTAAAGATATTTTAAGATATCCTACATATTGTGTGAACATTCAGGTGGGTACCTATTTTGTTTCCCTACAATATTTGAACAAAGAAAGGGAAGCTGAAAAGTAGTATGTGAATACGTAAATTACTATCCGAAAAAAAGTAGTAATTAAAACTTTATTACACAATTGGTATTTGTTTTCGAAAGCGAAAATGTTAAACACTATAAAAAGTCCAAAGTAATATTTGACATGGTCCATTACCGCATCACGTAAGTAACTCTTTCACACGCTTCGACTTCAACATGTGGCTTCTTTTTGTGGTGCAAGCTTCTGTCATCGTGTTAGATATCTGTCGACTCATAGCTATTCCAAGATCCATTAAAATTGTACTCGAAACTTATCGACAAGTTCAAATATGAGATGAGATTTATTAGGAACGGGAATTCTGAATGTTTTAATGTAGGGCAGGCATACCAATGTATAGGCAACTTATCATACGCGCCACAATCCAATATCACAGAGACTAATGGTTGCCAATACTTCTAAAATTAGTCCACCCATATACATTGGCGTAATGCAATATAAATTTCCAGGTGCATAATTTAACAATTTTAACCTTTAAAAACTTCCATATTTATACAAGCGATAAAAAAGTAGTGACGACACCAGCACACATGTGGTTATAGCGTTTCAAGTACTGTGTGTGGAAATGTAATGGTTTATCCGACCTTTTAATAAGCCAACTTGTGATTTTAATGTTTATACGTGTTTATATTGTCCACATAAATTAAATTTTCAAATAAATACCATGCACTAGTTTTCATGCTCTCGTTTTTAAGTTACCCCCACAAACTGCGACATTCTATCAATTGCACGCAAATACTCATTTTCCTCTGTTCATTCATATCAATGTAATTCAGTGTCCCCTTCATTTTGAAATCTAAATTTGGATGCGCATGCATTACTATACGAATATTCCTACAATTCCCTAAAGTCCCCGCGAAATGGAATTAAGAGCAAACAGAATATTTATCTTATTGTCTTTTTTCGCTGTATTTATTTAATAGTGGCGATTGAAAAATCTATTTGGAGAATAATTGAAAATAGTGATTTGCTTTTGGTATATTTCCGTGAAAACAAGCAAGACAGTTTGTATTTAATGTTAATTTCCTGATGGCATATTGGCGTATTATCAATATCGCCTGCGGTGTTACTGTGTGTAGATATTATTATTTTTCATTATGCTGTTTTTAATCACATATACATATGCATTGGTGTGGCAATTTACAAAATTGCAACATTATTAATATATTATCTGTCAGTTTTGTTTGGTACTGGACGAGGTAAGAGTGTAAGACTAAACAAGAAACAATTATCAGCTTCATTGGGAGTTTTAGAAACCACGGTTTTCAGAATTCTACACGAGTACGTACCTTAGGATGACCAAGATTAGTGCTAGATGGGTTCCGTGAATGCTTCCGCCATTCCAAATGCAATCTACTTGAAACCCAGGTTCATTGTTATGATCCTGAATCGAAACAAGAGTCGATGCAGCGGCATGTTAGGGGGTCTAGCCTTCCCAAGAAGTTTAAAGTCGATTCTTCTGCAGGAAAAATAATGGCAACCATTTTTTGGGATCCTAACTGAATTTTGCAGATTGATTATATGAACACGAGTAGTATGGATGGTAACGGGAGAGCATTATGCAAACCTATATCTCTAAATCTATGGCTTTACAGACAGCGATTTGTCCATTAACCCTATAAATCATCCGACAGTCAGGTACAAAACACAGGAGATTTTGGTGATAAAATGCGAACTGCGAAACTCTAATTTTCTCACTTGTGTATCACTGTTTTCTGAAATTTTAACTGCTGCTTACAAAACGAATTGAAAACACATGTCAAGGAATGGATCGCGGCTGCGCAAAGTCAACTTTTTTTATTTGTAGACGGATTTTTCGAAAATTTTAAGAGAAGATGGTACTCATAAAACTACGTTGAGTGCATATATAAAGAATTTTTTATTTGTGGACCTGTGGACCAATTTTGGCCCTTGGTGTACATTTGGATGCCCCAAAATGGCATTCGTTAACCAGTATTATTTAAAAAAAATTGAAAAATAACGGTTTTTCATCATTTTAGTTAAATTGCTGTAAACTAATTTGGCTGGAGTAACTATTTTTAGCGCGTTTTAAAAAAAAAGTAGCCCTTATACTCACTTTGGCTGTTTGTTGCGAGTAACTTTTCAACTTGTTTTCGAACAATGCGACTGTTAATGTGAAAATGTGCTTTTTGTAAATCGTTTACGGTTAGGCACTTTTTTTCTTAATTACTAAATTTAAAGGTATAAAAATTGCCCTAAGAATATTAAAAAATTCGTATCTGTAAAAATATAAGAGCTGATTAGCCCCGCAGCCCCCCAATTCTGTGATTGGATATTATTATAGAATGGTACGGACTAGTTTTCAGCGTGACCCAAATACGTACCTACCCAAAAATGTCTACCAACTCTCGGACTAGGAAGATTCGTGCGCGGAATAATCACTGAACGGAAGATTTGGCTTGAAGAAACCTTCGCCTCCAGGAACCGTATTGCAGAATTAGAGGTGAAAATCAATTTCTATTAGCATATTTTCTAAGAATTACTAGAATTTTTAGATGACCTTAACCTTAGAAATTGTCTGTGTTCAAAACTTCCGGGCATAAATCTTTCGAATGTGAATGTTCCGAAGGCGAATTTACCGGGGACTAATATTCTAGAAGTGTAAAATTTCGGAAGCGAATCTTCCGGGAGCGAATTTACCCGTGGGTGCCGCGTTTTATTGAAGGCAATTATTCTGGGAACGACTTTACCGGAGAGAATGTTCCAGAGCGCATCGTCCTACAATCCCAAGGTCTCATATTATTGCACTTACTAAAATACAATATTGAATATAGTGCAAGAAAGGGAAAGAGAATTATACCCCCGTAAATTACCTTACAAACGATCCGGTAGTTCTAAATTTTTGATATGTTGTCTAGAATAGTTAGTATAAGTGTTTAAATGCACAATTCCCCCTCCTTCACCATCCGCGTCACTCGCCATATTGAAAAAAAAACGAAAAAAATCAGATTTTCCCTTTGTTTCAGTGCATTTTAGCTACAAAAGAGTTCCATTCAATGTTGCAGATAATTAAATTTTCTATAATTTGCATATTCCGGAAATGAGATGATGATAAAATTCAAGTCAACGGAGCGATATAGGTACCTACAGGGCGCTAAAGAAAAGCAGTCAAACGTCAACAATTTTGAATAACTTGATGCGTATAAGGAGATGTGGTATAAAACGACGTAGATTTTCATGTCATTTCGAAAATGCAATAAACTATAGGGTGTTCTATTTAAAATAGGAAAATCGCCCGGTTTTACCGGAACTGAAACGATCATGATAACATTTTCTTTCGAGAGATTATGAAAAACTATGTTCGTATACAAATTTTCAGATTTAAATTAATGCGTGAAACAGCATGTATATTTAGAAATAAAAATTTGCTAAATACTCACATTCGAAGCATTGCTGAAGATTTTGTACATAAGTACAAAACGGCGTTTTATTCTTTGTGTGATTACTTTAAATCGTGTTTTTACTGTTACGGTAGTTTCTGGACAACTAGGTATCTTTGAAAATCCTAACTAGATAGCAAGAGTTCCCAGGCAGTTTCTAGCAGATGAAACTAGATCAAAATAATTATTGCTTGAGAAAACAACAAAAAACCTGTTTTATAAAAAATAAAAAATCAAGTATTTTTAACCCCTAGCAGCCCCTCTCCATGACAGGTACTCATTCCATAACCCCCCCGTTAAACCGACGCCTGCGTATACCCTTATACTTTTATTCAATGCCTTATCGTAATTTGCCAATATTTATAAATATTCAGGTTTCAAGATTTGCGAAAGAATTTGCATCAAAACTGAACATCGCACAAGAGATAAGTGCATTCGAAATTAGCACATTAGGTAGACTTGTTCGGAGTGACCAGAGACTTGTTATAACTAGACCGCGCGTAACGTAGATTTTACTATAAACGCCTGTTGTCAAGATAGATTAGGCAACCAACTGTTCATCGCGGGGCAGACGTACGTTCGGCAGCTTGCTTTAGCCATGTTTATTCTAAATTTTAGTAGCAAAAAAAGATAACATATAGCTGTTAACTGTTTTAATCGAATTTGTTGGTATTTTATTTGAACTAAATTGGTATATAACTGCCTTACTCTAGTCCTAATTTGATTTATATGTGTATTTTGGTGGTGAACACGTATGGGAAAATATACTCTTAAAACTAAAAATGTAAGTAGTAAGATATGTTTATTTAGCGGATTTTGATTCAATATATGCCTATCCAAAAACCCAAATGGGCTGTAACTGTTATTTATTTTTCTTAGACTGCTGATAACCATTTTGTTTACAACGCGGTGTGGTGTGGATTGAATGAAAAACCTGAACACATTTTCAGCAATTTGGCAAATTTTTAATGCATCGCTTGATACGTGCAACAATCCTCCACGATTTTTTCTAGTTAAAAGCTTTGAATGACTCTCTGATGCGAATATCGCATCTGCACATATGGAACATTTAACAGACTTAGCTATTTTTCTTGTAACAAAAGCTGAAATATACTTAGTACCAGTAAGTACTTAGTTACGTCTATACCTAATAGGCAAATAGGTATTGCCGTTGTCTTGCTGGTAAAGGATGTCGAATAATAGTTCTACGTTATTTTAAGTGAATAGGAAAGTCGAAAACGCTCGGTATTACATTATTTTTTAACACCTTCGTAGGTATCTTTCTAAAATCGGCTTCATTCCCCGCAAATGAACTATGGTGGGAGTAAATTTTTCTCTTCGAATGGCTCTCATCCATTGGCCCTTTAAACTTTTATCCGTTGAAAATCAGCATATTATTAAAAAATTTATCGACAGAGTACATGTTGATAGGCACAAGTTAACCTAAGTTTATTGGTTTATTCAGAAATTTATTTGTTCACTAATTCGAGCTAATCACGAGAATGATTAATAACGGAACATCTAAAATAACAGCTTATTTCATTGTATTGCATATCATCTCAGCGATTTTTGCCCCGCGGTGCATTGTGTGTTGCATACCGTGTCGACAACACCTTAGATACGTTAAGCGCAGTCTAGTTATAGCAAGTCTCTGGGAGTGACCGTTTCGTATCTAAGCAACAGCTTTTGTCTAAGTATCTTTGATATTTGAAACTAATATTAAATATACAATCAGAAGCGATAAAATTTTGACACATCTTTAATCATTATTTATTGCCTTTTGATGTCTACCTACGAGTATATCACTTATGAGAATTGCACTTTGTAAGTTTGCGTAGCAGTTATTTCAAAGACGAATCCATTATAGGACGAACGTGAATGTTCTACAGAACGAAAACGCGTTCCTGGTAAAGGAGTGTTCCCAACGGAAGCGAATTCTACATGGGCGAAATTTCTGGAGGCGAGCGTTCTTAGGGGCTACTCCGGAGGTGAATTTTCCGTAGCGAATGTTCCTACCATCAAGAGGCCGTATTTATAAAAATAAAGTATTTCCTTCAAACGTAAAAGTAAAAGGTTGATCTGACAAGCAGAAAGTTGAAAGAAAAGGTTTTACTTTATTTCCTATAGGTACTTATAATTTTTCCTTTTTCTTGCAAGCAAATCCTCGCAAGAAAATGGAAAAAGTATACACACACGAGTGCCGCCGAAGAAGTTAGTTGTAACCCAGATTTCACGATTTTACGTTTTTTTTTCACGATCTTACGATCTTGGATGAAAAATTTAAATGGTCCAAGCTTACGATAAATGTAATGAATCTCGAATTGGCGAAGGTTTGGCATCGCTGTCTCTTTTCGTTCTCGAGTTAGGCTAGGAACAGACGGACGCACAAAACCATCACGTAAGGGGAATTTCTTTTGAAAAATTTCCCTAAAAGGGGCGAGACTTTTTAGGGAGGAAGCTGAAAGTACAACAACCGTACAGAACAGCAGCCAGAGTTGGATAAAATAGAGATGGTGAAATATTACGCCCATTAAAATCTACGGGATTTTCAATAAACCGTACTATTGTCATTTTTAATCGTGTTTATTCGCAGGGATTTCCCTAAATCAAGAAATGGAATGTAAGGGGATTTTAAGGGATGTTAAATTATTATAGGAAATTCATTCCTTAATGGACAGTTCTGGAGACTGGAGGTTTTTAACATCTTAATTCCTGACCGATAACGATACAGCTCTGGCAGCCCGTATATGCCATGTACCTATACTGCATCTCCCCCGGTTTCCAGATTCCGGCCAATGAAATAGTTAGCTAACCACTGCACGTTTATTTCGTAAAACAGAAATAGGGTCGCGCTCACGTGTAGTACGTCTTTCTTTGTACACTTTACGTGCGCGTACTTGCACGGTGCACCATATCCACCATGGACCGTTAGGATATTAAAAAATTATCAAAGTTCTATTGTGAGATCGAAGGGGCTTCAGCGGATTTTTGTGTGGCAGATCAGTATTCTATTAGCCAGTTTTGACTCGACCATCAATAAGATCTTATCGCTACCACATTTCCTTTGTCGGTACCCACTTCTGGGTTCTCCCACAGTCATTTTGGTGGATTGTGCTAAAAATCATCCACAAAATAGTACTCCATTTTGGGCACTTCTATAGCACGAGCTTCTATTGGCCACACGAGAACAGAGTCCGCGATTCGAGCTTTAACAAATGTAAAACTCCATGACAAAATTCGAAACGGAAACTAACTTTTGGGCGCACGAAGTCGACTACCCATCTACCCATCGAAGACGCGCATCTTGCAAAAGGTGGGTAATTTCGCCCCTACAGACCAAAGAAGATTCCGTCACGCAGGAGTTGTGAGCGTTTACAACATCTTTCCGACAACAGCCAGTTTGAAAGCGATAGAACCAAAACTTTCGAAGAAGATAGGAAAAAACTGAAATATTACCACGTTAGTAAGCCAGGTTCCAGAAATAATTTGTCAAATTTGCGTACTTTGGTTGATGGGTGGTCTATGGTTTAAAAACCAAATCCAATTTAAGCGAGTAATTTTCGCTTTGAGCAGTCGGTAACTTTCTATCTCTGACATAATTTGAAAGAAATAAGAAAGTGTGACACACCTTGCACAATTAACAGTAGAGTAGGTACCTACACCTGATGTGCAACGTATTGTTAGAAAAAAATCAAATTCTATGAAATATAAAGGACACCGCAAAAAACCACGTACAACAGAAAAATTGTATTGTCGTGTTGAAGAAAACATACCTACCTATAGGAAAATTTTCATTTTTTGAGCCTGCACCTTAAATTATGGCTATGCGGGAATTGTTCCTTCCAATAGCTCATTTGTTACCGTTACTACACTGAAAACTAGCTTCAAGCAATTTTTCGTTTTGAGAATGAGAATTACTTTCAACGGCTACTAGTGCTAGTCTACTAGTACCTAATAGTAATAGTTGATTTGTGAAAAAAGTGTGTGCTTATAATTTAAAAATTGCCGCGTTGAAAACTTCACAACTGCTGATAGTTATTTCAAATTTTGGGTTATCTGTCTTGTTGACATAAATTGAATAATACAGTTTTTAAATTTTAATTTGTGAAGTAGGTACGTAGAAAAGTTTCCCACTATTTGAGGCGGTTTGAATTTCTTAGGTCTTACTTAGATTAGAGGTAGCAGCATAAAAATGTATATATTTGTAATATCTGTGGGAGCTCAACAATATTAAAATTGTCGCGTAGATAAACACAGAACGCCATTCAAAAGTAATATTTGAGTGAATTTGGAAGTAGGTACCCGTGGGAACTTACTAAGTCAAAAAAACTCAAATCAGAATACCTTTACCTAAAGGTGGCTACGGTTGACGTGTTTTTTTTTAAATTTTGATTTGACCGACTTAAAAATTACAACTTTAGTTACCTGGCGTAAAAGCTAGGTACCATCAAGTACATACCGTGTGTCCAAGGTAGAACGCCCCATGGACATACAGAATCAATGTATTTTTTTCGCCAAGAATCCATTAGATGATATGTAGTTGGGAGTTAGCGTTCAACGTACGCTATTGTGCTTGCCTGATGTCAGAAAGAGATCGGAGTAGTACGTTTAACGCTCATTTCAAAGGCCTCGTGGATCCTTCGCAACAAAATACATTGCCGTTTCCCTATAGTGCCGTTCTACCTGAGACACACTGTATATACCTAATTTTGAAAGTGTATATGTACCTATACCTACGTGCTACATACATAAATAACTTAAACATTTTTTTAATTAATTTTTTTTTGTTAATATTGACATATGATTTTGGAAAAGGTGATAGTAGAAGTAAACTTCATTATTAATAGGTTTTTCTTATCTTAAGTGTAAGGTTCCGTGCAGGGTAAATTCGAATTTATCTTAACATGTTTAATTAAGGAACGAAGATATCTTAAGAGTAAGAAAATAAATTTAGAAGGTTAGCAAATTGAAATAACCAAACAAATATTTACAGGTCAAATTCCATTATTTTATGGCAGCTGTTGATGGTTAGTTCATTACTCATCGTATATTACCGATCTTACGTCAACGTCTTAGTTGACCCCATCCATACTCTTAACCAGTGTAACCTTTTCATTGGAAGAAGTTAAACATTTAACTAAATAACCGTACAAGCATAACACTCAAATGTCGTAGATAGAAAACATTAAGATTAATTAATAAAAGTAACGACATTTGACATATACAACCTAATTTCAAGGATAACTTACCACTTGAGCGTTAGGCGAATGTAAAAGTTCGTGCTTTTCCAATTGGTCTTTAGATGTAAAAGATGTCGCACACTGTGAACATCCGTAAGGTCCGCTTGGCCCTAATATACTTGGAGTCGGTGAGACGGAATTTGGAATCGCACCTCCTGCGTTTTCTACGGAACTTATATCGGGATGCGCGGTCTCCATGTGTTCCTTGAGCGCTTGGAAGCTTTGGTAACCTTTCTGACATTGTGGACATTTTATGAAGTATTCTGGTGTAGAATTGAGATCTTCTACTTCTTTTGTTAAACCGTTGGCAATGGATGGGACTGAAAGAGAAAAGTTCAATGTTAAAAATGATCATTATTTTCGTTTTTGTAATTATGGCAAAGGTAGCAGAGATTACGTAATTGTTTCATGAAGACATCTAGTCATAAGAATATTTTAATAGAGGTATACTTTGTTCAACCATTGTTGTTGGAAATTCAATGACATTAACGAGGTACCTATTTGGCGCACATTCTTCGCAATTGCACGCTTTTTTCTAGTGTAACAAAGAAAAAAGTGTGACTGTAAAATCTCCAAATATAGAACAAAATATATGATATATACGCGTCATCCAATGGGATGATTATTTTTACTAATGCGATGCGGTTCTGGTTGTTTTAAGGTGATACGTGTGCTGGCATACGCTTTGTGAGTCAATTTACTTCCTTGATAAGATACCGCTTCCAATAAGTGCTTGCAAATAATTATAGTCTGTAAACAAAACAGATAGGAAGCTACACAAAACGAAGTTCACTTCATGTTCACAAATTTTAGCGTAACAAATATTTACAGTTTTGATCCGTCGCACGGGGCATAAATTCAACCTGTACGCATCGCACACAAATTAAAAATTCATAATTGCGAAAACCTGTTTGAAAATTTAAGTCATTATACGATTTTTCATTTCAAAAATAGCATAATGATTAACTTTTTTCGCGGGAAGGCATCTTTAAATACAGCACGCCGCTGATTGTAAAATCAAGTCTGCTCAAGTTTACCGTCGTCGAACGGAAAACCCAAGCTATCTCCCATCTATATAGCCACCGTAAAGCCGGAGGTAAAAAGTAGAAACCAATAAATCATCCGAGAAACACCTTGAGAGCTATAAATTTAGGGTGCCGGTCCCTAATATTTCTTATTCGGTGAATGTTTTTCTTAAATAACGCTCTCCAACTTTATCGTTTTTTGCTCTAGTAAAGGTATTGCCTACTCGGAAAAGTTAAGAGGTCCAAGCGATTTCTGTCTCGCAATCGGCATTTGGGGTGAGCGTCGATTTATATAAACAGCGACGATTTTAAAACTTTTGAAAGTGCGTTTTGGTATAATGGTAATTAGTCTGTCCGCACGACAACAAATCACAGGTTACTTAGGAAGTAATCGTAGATCAGTAAATTTTGAATCAATGCCAACCGACATTATAATCAAACCGGGCGGCGGTGTGAAGAAAAAAATGTGTATTTTTATAAAGAATGTGAAAGAAAAATAAATTTATTGTCGTAAACTTTAATATTTAATTGTTCCAAAGCAGGTGAGATAAATTGTTAATGGCGGGGAGTATTTTTTGCATTTTGCGTGTTGGATTTTTAAAACTTGAGCGTGCTTGCATTGTAGCTCCCTCTAGACGGAAACGCATGGAATTGCGTTCACCCTAACTTTGGGGTTGAACGTTTTTAGGGGGAGTAATTGTAATTGAACATATAGGTATACTCGTAAATAAATACCGGAGATAGTAGATGGCGCCAAATGAATTAATTTTGATCGTTCACTTTTATGTAACTTGGCGCATAAGTTTAGGTAAAAATGCTCAATTACGGTACTAGTAAATTTACTACTTTTCATGCATTTATTTAATCGAGTCAAGTGTGTTTTTCAAATGAAGTGTTGAAGAGCCGTGGGAGTTTAAACTACTTCCGTTTATAAAATACGGGGCAATGCTTTAAATTTCAATTAAGGTACTTAAAGCAGTTTTCGTTTCCTTTGGAAAAGGTAAAGGTGAGAAAGTGCAAATTTTGTCCAATGAATGGAACAGGTGTGTCTAAGACCCTCCCACTTCACCTGCACCAATAGAATCTTGAGACGGAAAGGTAAAACGTGTTGGCTCATTGAAATCGCTACAGGTGTACCTATCCACGAAAGCTAAGGTTTTGGTGGGCCGCTACCACAGGTAAAAACCACCTGCTGAAATTCTTACTGGCATGTAGCTATCCACTCGCGATGACAATTTATATATGACCTCATGTAATAACTATGATCTGTCTAATTGCTTTGTAGCTGTTTACAGACTATAAAAAGCAGCACGCAAGTCGACCTCTCGAATTAACCCTAAACATGAACTGTACTGACACAGACCAATTGACTCGAAGAACGCGCTCTTGTTCAAGTTGACCGCTCTAGAATCCAAAGAGCCTGGGAACACGTGCAACTTAGATTGCCCTATCATTTTATAGAATTAATAATCAACGCAGTTAATTACTTTGCTAATGGTGGTAAGCGGTACTTTAATTGCGATAACTCAAAACTAATTCCCGGGAAAAAAATTGTACGTAAGAAAAGTTAATTAAACTCACATTGACAGGTGCTCCATACGTTAGCGAGGCTCCAGAGTCTGTACGAGTAGCTATCGTAGCACCCAAACATGCTTTCACTACGCGCCACCATGGCCTACTAACAAAAGCTTTACACACGACGGACGTCGGCCACACTGTCGTAGATTTTTCATCCCTCCTTCACAGGCGTCGTTCCCCACTACATACGCGCGCGCTTCTCTACCTACACCGTCGTTTCCGACGCTCACCGACGCCGCTATATTCACCGCCCCCAAATCTGATACCGATATCAAATTGACGCGTGCGGTACGATTGAGATTTAAATCACGAAAAGGTTGTGGAAGATGAGGTTGATATAGGGATGTTCCGCTTGCTTATACAATCCATAACCGTCGCTTAATAAGCTTAGATACGCTGTACGTATGACGAACTATTTTAAATTTTTCTGCCGAAGGGTGTCTTTGACGATCGTTATGGGCAATTTTATTTATCCACCGGTGAGAAACAAGTCCCTTTAATAATTTTCCCAGCCAAATCCTCAACCGCATTTTAAAGGAATCATTATTTTTGTATGCTGCGATAGTAAAACAGTAGCAATTAGTAATAAATATTTATAAACATAACCGCAAATTCACACTTTATCAACAATGCGCTATGAGAATTTAATTCAGGGACGAGAGCCTAAAAGAATCGGACACGGTTAAAAATAGGAAATATTGATTTGCATAGAATTTTTGCCCGAAATAGCGGCAAGTGTTTGCCAAATGGTGCTTTTACGATTGACAATCTGCAAAACCATTCCTACGGCAATACCACCTTGAACATACACCCTACATTAACGGCAGGTTTCACAAAAGGGCTCCATAAAACCCTCTTTTGAACACGTCCCAGAGGTAACTTGATTATTGTAACAACCCTCCTTTACACCATCTGTCGCCCACACTTCTTTTTACCTGCTAGACGACACATTAAACGCAGGACTTTGTGGTAGCAAATCGAAAATTTGTAAACGAATTTCGTAGAACTAAATAACTCAATTTTAGACTGCTCTCGAATTTTTTGATGTTTTAGTGGAAGAACTGCATCAACAGGTTTCAACAGTTCGATCGCTATTAAAGAGCTTTTGAAAAATGTCGAGAGCTCTGCGGCGATGTAACAGATTGTAGTGGACGCTTCGAAAGCTCATAAAGCTTATTCGCATATTTGTTGGATTTCACAATGCGATAATCAAATATAATTCCCATTTAGCTATCTCCAATAAAACAGCTGTAACATACATATATACCATATAGGACGGCTATTTTTAACCTATGCAAGTTCCGTTGGCGGGACTTTATATGAATCACTTTATTTTGGTATCGGTCAGGAGTTAGTCAGGCTGATTTATAATCAATATTGTGGTAAACGGCGCCCGACATTTTTTCAAGAATTTAAACCGCAATTACAATCACCGAGAAGTAAAGCATCTAATCGCCCTTACTTGGCCCGGAACTATTTTTAAGTGCTTTCGCGAACAAGTTGTACCATTAAAATCGAGAGGGAATCCGTCGCACTCTTGGACCTCTTACTAGTGTGCTTTACAGTCGTACACGATAATCTATACTTAGGTGCGTAGAAGTTTATCTTATAAATAAGTTATAACATAACTATAGGTATATGGGGAAGCGACATATTACAATTTAGGTACAAAAGTATATTTAACGCATTTTTCGAAAATCAAATTTTGTCAATTCATCCGTTCGTGTACAATACAATATCTCGGGAATGGAAAGTTGTAAAAACTCGCTACCTATGTTTACTAATTTGCACCATAAAAGAGTTTTATCCGTTAACTTGGGGATGACTCCTAATAGATATGCGAACATCTTTCATTAATTGACCAATTGACGCTGCGCCACTAGTTAAACTTAATAATAACACATTTTTAAAAACAAAAGAAGGTTCAAAATAAACTATAATTATGACGAGTACGTAGTTACAAAAGTTGTTCAAAATATCCGCCGTCTGCTAGTAAACAAGCTTCAGCACGTCGAAAAAAAAGTGCCGTTCTGATCAAAAACTGGTAGAGGAACTTTTTATTCAGTTTTCGTTGTATAACGCCATTCCACAGTCCGTGTGCGCGAATTTAGAAACATGTACGTAATTTCGAAAAGGCGTTCATTAATGACACAACCGTTTTTATTTTTGTGAAATCCATTGATTCGAGAAATCGCTCTTAGAGCGTTAGAGAGTTAGAGTTTAAAAATTAATAAAACACCAGAAAGGTGTAATCTATCGAAAACGTGGCATCCACTAACTTCGATACAAATACAATCTCGATTACAGGCACTTGGTGGCAATTCGTGGTCGTAGTTCTCAACAAATTTTCGTTGGTATAGGTACACCTTGTAGAGCACAGCTTACGGATAACTATCTTAAGATAACAATCCAGATATATCAGGATCAGGAAAAAATGTGTCGTCAAAAGTCTCTCACACTATAGATATTTTTTATATGTGTAATTGTTCACAGCATTTTTTCTTTTTTAATTTTTCTTTTGTTTTCCTTTGTTTTGTTTAATTTTAATACTCGTAACATATATTTTTTTATAATATCTATGTTCTTGAATAGTTTTTTTTATTAACAATACATGGACATTGTTCATAAATAAATAAATAAATCTTTCGTCCGTTAAAAATTGGTATTCTATCATTTTTTCTCAGCACCCATAACACACATTACCTACATCTTTCAATAATCTCAATTGCGTCTTTAATAAAATATGTTTTGACTACTAAGAAATGTTGGAACAGCCGCTTGGATAAAACGGAAAACGAATCATAAGATCTTTATAATGAGAATTAATACACTATAACACCGATATAAGGTGACACACGTATGTGACAAAATCTGTCACCATATTGGTACCAGGATCTCCAATCCTTCCTTTCGAACCATAATTACTTTCTAAACTGGAAACTATGAATAAATGCGTCTCAAACCCAGACCTTTTACACAATTTTCATGTTTGTTTCTGATAAAACCCTTCGTCAAAATATCTGCAGTGAATGTATTCGGTGGGTATATGCTTTGATTCCTTTTTAGTCTCGCAAGAAATGGTATCTGATATCTATGTGCTTGGACCGCGCGTGGAAAACTGGATTGGCAGATAATTTCTGTGCACCGATATTGTCGATAACTTATAGCAGGAATTATGTCAGGCCTTGTTCCCACGGATAAGTACATCCACCGGCCGAATAGTTCTCGGTAGTTGGGGTGCTTCGGGCAAGAGCCTTCCCCGTCCTTTTTGTCCTCCTTTTGTCCCCTCGGGCTTAATGCGATTTAATTCTCGTTCTATCAAATTCGATTCCTAAATAATATTTTAGATCCCCAAAAGGCTTTACTTATCTCAAAATGATCTTTACATCGATTTATTTCGTCTTCGCTTCTTGACATAATTAGAACGTCGTCGACGTAAATGATCATTGCAGGCCCTACACGCCTTCTATCCTTCCAAAACTCGTACGGGGTCCTTGATTGAAATAACAGGCAGCGAGCCATTTCAACCAAAGTTCTATTCACCCTTTCAGCTACCCCGATTTGCTTAGGTGTGTAGGGAGTGGTGAGTCGATGATTAATGCCTTCTGACTGCAAAAAAATTGTCAAAACCCGCATTTGCAAAGTCACCACCATTATCTTTTTGATTGATACTCAATGTTTCTGTTCGGAGAACGCCTTGAACCTTTTGAATTTCTCGAAAGCTTGACTTTTGTTCTGCAGGAATCGTACTATATCTGGAGAAATCATCTACAAATATAATGAAATACGTAGTCAGTATGTATAACTTCAACTCCAACTTCTTCGTTTCCCGATTTGTTTCCTTCGGGAAGGATGGGGTCTGGGCATCTTCCTCTTAATACAGACGTCGCAATCCATATCCGATCTTTAATGAGTTGATGAGATCTCGAAAATTAACGTGTCCCATTCTTCTGTGCAAGACGAGAAAACTATTCTTTCTTTCGGTATCCCGGTCTCCTCTTTTGTAACAGAAATTCCACTTTGACATCTTTCGGTTGGTTATCAATTCGATATGCCATGATTTTGGTTTATTGTCCCTGACCATTGATGATTTTAGCTTTGTTCTTATCGAATAACACTTGGTATCCCTTATCTGTTATTTTGGCAACCGATAACAGGTTCTGTCGCAGTTCGGGAACATGCAACACATCAAGCACCTTCACGTCACATAATTTGCCCAGTATGTTAGTTTAAAGGTCCACCCAAACCGACACGGGAATGCGGAGGTAGTAATTTCTTGCAAAGCTTTACGTGTCATTCAGTCGAAAGCAAAACATGAGCCATTTGCTTTCTCATATGGTTTCGCTGATTACAAAGAAAATCCCTGCAAAATATACGTATTTCACTCCAGAAACAAAATAACAATCATCTCAATCCGCATCCTAAAGCATCCGAAGGCCTCTATATTTTAGGGTGCGCAAGGTACACATAAATGACTACCTTAAAAAGAGAAAAATTGGCAATAGTGCCATAGCAATACATTTCATTATTGGTGCGTTTAAAGAACTAAATCATAACCAAATACAATTGAGCGGCCTGATAGAGCTAGGATCATTTATGTCTAAAACTGCACACACTGAGCTTTGGCTAGTAGGGTGGGGGGAGAAAAAAATCTCTCCAAAAGTGTTTGGTCTCTGCGCAAGCGACTGCCACCTTTGATATTGTGTTATTTGCGAAAAGTTTTGAATGCACAGTGCAAATTACAGCACCGTACGGTCGCGTCGGTAAACTACAGTGGCATCAGTAGTGCAGTGCAGTTTAAGCAAGAGAAGCCGGTCAGGATCAATTCCCCCATCCATTATTATCTTAAGTCTGCTTTAACATATTTCAATTATTATTCGTGTTATTAATGTTTTGTTAATATATTCATCATCTCTTTTCTTAGTAAGTAAATATCATAGCGATAATCACTGTACCATAATGGTGGAATTTTCACATTGAAATAACCATTTTATACGCCGGGGAAGTGGGCATCCGTCGAAACGGAGCGGTTGACCGGGAAAAAGTAAACTACTCTCCAGATGGCGACTCAAGATTGGAAGACCGTCAGGAGTCAACTTATTGGATGATCGTGGTAGTAGTATAGTAGACCCATCGCGTGATAAAAGACG